GAATGAAGACTCAATATCAAGGATTGCACTTACAACCAATCATAACCCAATTAGGTGAGAGTGGAAGACTTTTCCTATTGTTCATCCGTTGCATCGTCTTGTGCGACCAATCCCTGCAACCTACGTAGCCAACCTGAAATTAGCCAAGCATGGTTAAAACATAAAAATCCCGGCGAATTCCTTTTGCCTTACAACAACGTCTAGCGAATGGGAACCTTTTTAAACATACGAATGTACAAACATTCACCAATGTTGACAGCTTTTATTATTAGGAGCCATACTTTGAAATGATATTACCTCACTGTATCTGTCTTCTTATCACCCTTAAATTAATCAAGAATACCATTTTTCGATATTCTCTAGTGGTATTTGTACTTGTTTACCGTATGTGAGAAGAAGTTCCCGTTTGTTTTACAAGGCATAGTCAACAGAATTCAGTACTTCACTAGCTTTAATTTGAAATCAACGAAGCTGTTTAAATCACACTACACAAATAAAAACGGTATTGCATAAGGTTGATTTATAATTTTAAACTTTTTAATTAAGCTTTTACTTTCATGTCAACTGATTCGATATAGTGGTTTTCAGCCTCAACTTGACATGTAGGCTGCTTCCGCAGATGCTTCGATGTTGTCTGATTATCTGACATGAAATAAATTGGTGGATGTTGGCAAGTAGTGTAATCCAGGATAAGGCGCATTGCCCCTGACTTGGGACTTGTCAACCACCGGATGTGCACGCAGTCCCCACTGTGGGATGTTTTTTCCACCTAAGCTCTTCCCTGTGACCAACCACTTTAATGCAGTTATCCAACGGGAACGTCCCGATTTAATTGTATAATAACGGATGCCAATTGCAGAATAAGCAGTTCCGACCAATCAAGGAGTCAAGTCGATAATGTTTGGGCATACTAAATGACGAATAATGGTTTCGAACCTGAGTCGGAACGCCGTCATACACCAGCTGGATATACAGATACTTCCAGAAGAAGGGCGATGCCAAGGTATTTAGAAATGCGTCTTCACCAGGATTCCACTCTTATTCACTATCCACCACTTTAATTCAGATAGAAGATCCTGATTTAAACTCAGTAAACAGCACCTAAATCACCCTTCTTATTATTTGAATAACACACAATCCTTGTGAAATATCTAAGTGAATATTTATTTCATCTGTACGAAAGAGTGCTGCAGTTGGCTTCTCTCTCCTCGAAACTTTTCAACTGCCATTTTTAGGTAGGATTGCTATGAAAATATGATCGTCTCAATCTGCAAGGAAACTACGGAATGGAGTGTCACAGACTTCAGTGCCTTGAAAGACGTCTTTCTAAAGTATATAGTCTACTGAATAAGAATAAAAACGTCATGGCAATACATTTATTGAAAGGATACAATTGTAGAACTGGTCGAGATGGATGCTCTTGAGGAAGGTGTGAAGTAGTAAACACCTCATCACCCTGTTACGAATCCAAAAAAGCCTGAAAAGCTTCGAGTAGCTTTTGACCGCATGGCTAGATATGGTGTTATATCTTTGAGTGGTAAGTTATTGCAATGACCATATAGTGTCAGTCGTACCGTTGGAATACTTTTACGTTTCTGAGTTGACATGGAAGAGATGTTTCAGCAGGCGTGGATTCCGAAACAAGAGAGAAGGGCATTTCGTTTGTTATAATGGAAGGAAAGATGGACATAAGTAGGAAGGTACAGGCAGGACACTTAGTTGTTGTGGTATCAGGATTCACTGGAAGGAGTTAGTAGCCACTCGTGCAAAGGGTGGTGCCTATTAAAGATGGCTTGGTCAGACAAGTGAAAGTGAAGACAGCTAAGGGAGTATTGGCAAGGAAGACAGAGATAATAGTGCTCGTCAGGGCTGCAACTGGTGTACTGGTATAAGTCCTGGTAACCAGGGGCAGTGTGTAATAGAAGGCGTTTCTTCGCATGCGTGTTGTGGAAAAATTGCTTGTAAAGGTATGGAGAGCGCACGTGATTTGTTAGTGAATTTCTCCTATTTGTTCCGAGTTTAGTGCGTGAGCATGTTGTGTAATCATCTACCTGGACGAATTATGATTATTGTAGGTGCTATTTCACTGCTTGTTTGGAAGAGGAACTAACGTTCTTTTGGCAGGGAGTGTTACGCCTAATATTCCACGCTTAAACAGTAAACCTGTGCCTTATATACTATTCTGCATTTTGCGTTGATTAGAAAGTATGTGTTTCACTGAACTATCGTACAATTCTTGTTTGAATTGAGAACTGATTTTGGGTTCAGCTACTGTATTCTGAGTCTGGAAGCTGCATAACTTCATATTTGAAGTATTTTACCATGTTCGCCTGATGCATTTCGCTTAATAAAACAACAATCTTGCAGCTCTTAAACAATGTGTTATCAATGTAATTCTATTTGAAGCCATTTAGTTTATTTTGGATTTGATCTGGTTTCTTTGGAACAGTTTGGCTTTAGATTGATTTGCACCAAGTGTGGAAGTCTGTATCTTTAAGAAGTATTCGCGAGGCGCCTGTATCTCTTTTTTTGATTGTATTATCCAACTGCCAATCAAGCCCTATACTCGACCTTTCATACTTCACCTTAAATGCGTTTTTGAGAACATTGTTGTTCCACTTCTCGTTCCAGCAGTACTACTTTTATTCGTCGTCGGGAACTATCCAAAGCATCAGCATTTTTTTTCCTATCCTGGTGAACTTTTTTATACGGACCTTATTTTTTTTCAAGGAGTATTTAAAGAATAAAAGGGCTATCTGCCTCTTTTAGGACAGCATTTAGGACAGCTGGATCTACTTTGATTCCTCCAACTTCAGAATAAATTCATTTACAAGTGTTCCAATTTTTTCGAAGTAGTACTAATATATATATATATATATGAATAATCTCACAAAGTGATAAAAAGTGAACGAAAAGCAACCTTTATACTAATTAAACCAACGAAAGTAGACAAAAAGAGCTTTTGTTGCGATTAACACAACGATTAACACAACTGGAAAGTATTATTGATGATCACATCAGGGAATATCTGGATAGGTCTAAAATACTCCATGAAGCCCAACACGGTTTCAGGAAAGGTAGATCCTGCGTCACTAACTTATTATCAGCTTGGGACGACTGGACATCATGCTGGGATATGAATGTTCCCGTCCATGTGATCTTTCTAGACTTTGAGAAGGCATTTGACACTGTTCACCATGACCTTCTCCTACACAAAATAAGCCAGGTAGGTTTAGGTAAACCACTTCTGTCATGGTTGAAGGACTACCTAACTGAAAGGCAATTTCGCACCAAGGTCAATCGAGTCCGATCATCTTGGCACAGCTCGTCATCAGGAGTGTCACAGGGTTCTATCCTGGGACCACTGATGTTCTTGATTTTTATAATGATTTACCATGCCGTCTAAGCTGCCCGACTCTTCTATACGCTGATGACGTGAAGATATGGAGAGGATAAAGTGTCCGGAGGACTCAAATAGACTGCAGGCAGATCTAAGGCTTCTGGAAGACTGGGCGGTAGCCAGTGGCATGACTTTCAACCTGAAAAAGTGCAAAGTAGTGAAGTTGCGCACCTGTAGACTGCAGAATGCAAGTTACACCCTGTGCAATGAAAGCTTGTCCTGCTCAACGTCGGAACGTGACTTAGGTCTAGTTCTAACGGAGAAAATGGACACAAGCGTAAATTACACGGGGGATGTAGCGAGGGCATATGCGGTCATACACTTTACACATAGACAATTAGGTGCACTCACTCCTGAGCTCTTTCTAAGGTTGTATAAAACATACGTCAGACCGCATCTTGAAGTGCATAATATCATTGCACCCCTACTGCTTAAAAGAGACGCCAACCTCTTGGAAAGAGTCCAACGACGGGCAACAAAAGGAGTGGTTGGTCTCCGAAATAAACCATATGACGAAAGGCTGAAGAAATTAGGCCTATTCACACTCAGTTACCGTCGCCTTAGGGGGATTTAATTACTGCCTACAAAATAACAAATGATCAGAATCACACAAACAAAGGTGTTCTGCCATTGAGTAGGTATAGGCTTCCTTGTGGAAATCCTAGAAGGATAGCTCATCAGAGGGCAAGGACCCGGGTGCGCTCCCACTTCTTTTCCCTGCGGGTTTGCCGTCCCTGGAATTCCTTACCGGCAGATGTAGCTATGGCACCATCTGTGGACGCCTTTAAGCGAAGGCTGGACAACCATGCAGCGACACAAGGACTCCATCCAAATGGCCTATCCCCTTAAAATCGCATATGTGCGTCGGTGGCACAGTGGTTAGGACTCTCGCCGACCATGCACATGGTCCGAGGTTCGATCCCCTGCCGGCGCACACCCGATATCTATGGTCGGCCTGAATTTGGGCTACTGATATCCATGCTGAAAATTCCACACTTGTACTGAAAATACGGTGTGGAATCAAGCTGTAAATCAAAATAAAAAATAAAAATAAATAAATACACCATTCAAAGGTAGACAATTAAACTTGTCGTTTTACTTCATTACATTCGCTTCAGTCTTACTCTCCTGACAGCTTTAACTACACCTCTTATTATTATTATTACTACTGGTATATATATATACCGGTTGACTGACTGTTGTTACGTTTTCTTATTCTTTTTCTGTCTGTTAGTCTGAATACCTTCACCAATTATATCTATTATTATTATTATTATTATCTCTTTTCTATTGACGATGATACCGAAGGACCAACTGGTGAAAGGATCAACTCCATTCACAGTAGTAACAGTCTTAACACACCTCATACTACAAACCACATATAATTAATCTCTCTGCACTACTCCTTTTGGAGTCAACCAAAGCTACGGCAGTCGAGTGGCGGGACGAGCTACGCAGACGTTCACCGAAGATCAGGAACCTCTACCTCACAATCACGAGGCAAGCACAAAGAAATCAAATTGGTTTATAGTAGCTCGTAAAAACGATATTGGATATTGGAAAGCAGAAGTTGCTTTACAACATCAAAAAGTCACTCTCGTTCCCCGGAGCGCGCGTGACCTGAGTTGTGCGTTACTTGTTTTGGTAATTTGCAGGTAACTATTTTTTCTGGCGATATTATAAATTCCATTATTTAATTATATGAAACATAGATCCAAGGGTATTCGTACTTTTAGGGCGTAGCTGACTTTTATCTTCCGTTAGTACGTAGTGTCTGAACATCCCAGTTCAGTTGTCCGTCAACTAGGTGTAAATAATTGCTACACTTTAGTGCCCACCGTGGTGCATACATTTTCCTTATAAGCTCTATAGAGTTATACTGACACATCAACTGCCTTCTAAAGACCAATGACTACCACTCCATTAGGTCAGACGTACCAGTCTGACCGGGAGATGATCAGGCAATAATTTCTTGTTATCTTTGTTTTTTTTTTCCTTCACGTTCCCAGCGGAACATAGGGCTTCAAGCTAGTGGCTTGAAGTTTCCGTAGCAGTGCTTTTTTATTTTGCAGGATGGGGTTGCTAGCCTCATGCCCAACCTTTCCTTTTCACCAGCATTATTTCTGTCTTAGCGAGGTAAAGGAGTGCGTCGGCCGGGGATCTAACCCCGGACCATGTGCATGGTCGGCGACCGTCTTAACCGCTATGGTGTATATTTCCTACCTTTTCTAGCCTGAGACATACACGGTAAATAATCCTTTTTGAGGTAAATGTATTATGTTGGCAAGAGTGAGTAGTAGATCAGAGTAATCCAAAAGGAAACGAGTTGGACATCTGAGGGTGACATGGAAGAAATTATGTGATGAGATGAAAGATTACATGCAGTTGTAGAGTCAACCGAAAATGACTTCAGGGGACAGAATAAAACGAATGCGTTCTTGAAACCCTGTGTTCTACTCAGCACCCAGGAGAATAACGTTAATTCTATAAGGATTATAGAATAATCCCAAGTTGGTAAATAATGTAGAGGAGGGCAGTTCAAAGGACTAACAGTAATACTACTAAATGTGTCTTTTATTATCAAACAAACAAAAACTTTATTCGAGGTAATTCAATGGATTTGCAGATTTTCAGGGTTTAGTTGCACTAACTCACCTTTCTCTGGTTTTAAGCTTTATAGGAAAGTATAGCTTGTAGGACAGTCTATACAGTTGGGTCAACTTTTTCGTACTATTTGACGAATTTTTATTGGTATGCTTCCCAAATCTGACCACGTTTTTACATTTGAAATGTCTAATTGGTTTGCAAATTAATGATGGTCAGAGTATTGTGCGTGTTCTCTTGCTCGGTTTCAGTATTTTAACCTTTTCATGTTCTAAATTATGATACTGCATATGAAGTCTGAAGCCTTGAATTCCGTTCCAACCGCCCCATACACCTCGCTAATCATTATTCTGTTCTAATGCCTTTTCTTTCAGATGAGAAATACAAATCAGTAACTACCAGCAAACTTTCGTACTATACTATAACCTTACTCAGCATGTAAGTCAGTGGTACTCTTTGACAGTTAGAACTTGTGTAGTTGGGGTAAATTTCATGTCTATGAAGTTTGAGATCTCTAGTTTCTATTTCAGTCAGTGTTTCATGTTTAGTTTCACTAACATTTTATAATAATAGGAAGTACTGAATAATTACATAAGAAAAAAACAAACTTGTATTATTATTATTATTGTTCCCTTGGGTTCCTAGTGGAACATAGGGCTTCAACTGCACGTCTCCACTTGCTTCTGTCTTCTGCTGTTCTTTTCACTTGCGTCCATGTTATTCCATACTGTTTCATCTCCTCCTCACACGATCTCCTCCATGTCACCCTTGGACGTCCCACTCGCCGCTTCCCTTTCGGGTTCCACTCGAGCACTGGCCTGACGCGCGATGTCACTCAACGGCCTCCTCAGCGAGTGTCCAATCCATCTCCACTTCCTCCTGCATATTTGTTGGGCGGCGATTGGTTCCTGTTTCGTTTGTTCCCATAGCTTCTTGTTTGTGATTCTTTCCGGCCATCTAATCTTCAGTATGGAGCGAAGACAGTTGTTGATAAAGGTCTGCAACCTGTTGAAAATATTCTTGGTGACCCGCCAAGTTTCTGATCCGTAAAGCAAAATTGACTTCACGTTTGTATTGAAAATCCGAATTTTGTTGTTGATGGTGAGTGACGAAGATTTCCAGATTGGTTTCAGGTTGATGAATGTGTTTCTCGCCTTCCCGATTCTCGATTTGACATCTTCGTCCGTTCCTCCTGTGGTTGAGACAATGCTCCCTAGATAAGTGAAAGAAGTAACCTCTTTCAAATCCCTCCCGTTGATGGTGATTGGCACTGGATGTTGCTGCTGCTGTTGTTGGTTGGTTATTTTCATGACCTCCGTCTTGTCTATGTTCACCTGGAGTCCTGTCTTTGCTGCTTCTTCGACCAGTTTGTCGGTTTTTGCTTGTAAGTCTTCGATTTGTGTGACATCAAACATAAATCATCCGCAAAATCCAGGTCTTCTAGGTTCTTCACGTCGGTCCAGGATATCCCTGTCTTCTCGTTTCCCACTGTCTGACGCATAATCCAGTCCACCACAATTAGGAATATCATTGGTGATAATAAGCACCCTTGTCTGACTCCTGTGTTTACTCGAAACGCCTCGCTGAGTTTTCCGTTGTGGATCACTTGACATGTGCCGTTGTCGTACAGTTGTTGAATAAGGTTGATGAATATTTGGGGTACGCCGTAGTACTCGAGTAGTTTCCAAATTACTTCGCGATCAACGCTGTCGAAGGCCTTCTCAAAGTCTATAAAGTTGAGGTAGAGGTTTGATTGCCATTCCATGCTTTGTTCGATGATGATGCGTAGAGTTGCAATTTGGTCAGAACATGATTTGCCTTTCCTGAATCCAGCTTGTTCTGGTCGAAATTCTGTATCCAGTGCGTCCTTGATTCTCTCCAGGATGATGCGACTCAGGATTTTACTTGGCGTCGACAGGAGCATGATTCCTCGCCAGTTCTTGCAGAGTCCCAGGTCGCCCTTCTTTGGTAGTTTCACCAGGTAACCTTTCCTCCAGTCAGTAGGCACCTTTCCCTCTTTCCAGACCTTTTGCAATAATGGAGTCAGCATATCTGCCGTCGTTTCTGGGTCCGCTTTCAGTGCTTCCGGGGGTATTCCATCTGGTCCAGCTGCTTTTCCAGCTTTCAGAAGCTTGATTGCATTCATGACTTCAGTTTTCGTTGGAGGATTGGTGTCAACTTGCAGTTGTGTACGTGCTGTTGTTGGTATTACTGGACGGGTTGTAGGTGGTGGTCGATTCAAGAGTCCTTTGAAGTGGTCCGCCCATTGTTTAATCTGTCTTTCTTCCTTGGTAATTGGGTTCCCTTGGCTGTCTTTTATAGGTTTCACTTGTGTTGATCTCTTCCCGGATAGAGACTTGGTTATCTGATATAGTGTCCTCAGGTCCCTTTTGCCTGCTGCCTTCTCAGCTTCAGTAGCCAGGTTGTCGTAGAATTGTCTTTTGTCCTTCCTGGCACTCTTCTTCACTTCTTTGTCCAGTGCTGTGTAAGTTGAGTTCAGCGTCTCTTTCTCTTGTCCATCTTTGCATTGAATCATTTTTTTCTTTCACCTTTCTCCTCTCCTCTATTAGTTTCCAAGTGTCTGTTGAGAGCCATTCCTTGTCTTGTTTCTTCTTTCTTCCTAAAACCGTTGAGCACGTTTCGTTGAAAATTACCTTCAGAGAGTTCCAATGGTCTTCCACAGATGATTCCTCAATGGTGCCACGTAGTGTTTCCTGCTTTGCTCTGACAGTTGCAGTGAAAGTGTCCTTTGTGGTTGTGTCTTTCAGTTTTTGCGTGTTGAACTTGCATTGTGGCCTATCCCCAGGTATCCTCGAGGCTTTCAGCTTCACCTTGAATGTCCCTTGTACTAGATAGTGGTCTGAACCCACATCTGCTCCTCTCCTCGATCTTGTGTCCAGTAGGCTCCGTCTCCACTTCCTTGAGATTGAAATGAAGTCTATCTGGTTTTTGGTGTGTCCATCTGGTGAAATCCATGTTGCCTTGTGTATGTCCCTGTGTTTGAACACACTGCCACCAATCACCAAATCATTGAAGGCGCAGAAGTCTGAGAAGAGTTCGCCATTTTCGTTCATTTCACCGAGGGCCTCACGACCCATGGTGAGTTCTCTTCCTGTATTGTCTCCTCCCAGTTTCGCATTCATGTCGCCCATCAGGATTTTGATATCGCTCTTTGGGACGTTGTCCATTACTGTTTGTAGTTGACTGTAGAAATCCTCCTTCTTCTCATGTTCTGAGGCGTTTGTAGGCGCGTAGCACTGAATGATTGTAACCTTTTTTCCTTTTGAGTTGAACCTGGCTGTCATTATCCTGGAGGAGATTGGTTCCCACTGCATGAGAGCTTTAGCCGCTGTTGGTGACATCATGATGGCTACTCCCTCGGTGTGCTCGTGATTGTCCTCTGGGTGACCGGAGTAGATTATTGTCTCTCCAGTTGATAGTTGGCTCCTTCCACATCCGTTCCATCTGCTCTCGCAGATTCCCAACACTTCTATTTTATATCTCCTCATTTCTGCGGCTACCTGAGCAGCCTTCCCAGCTTCGTACATTGTACGAACATTCCACGTCCCCATCCTTATTTTTGCTCTCATCGAAAGAAGGCACATCGGCTGACTGGCTTCCCGAAGGCTTTCACCAGCCCGCGTCATTTCACTTCCCCGATTCCAGCGAAAAATAAGGTCACTATTTGTAATTTTAGAATTTTGAATATATTTGTGCGTTGAAGTTTTAGTAGCAATTTGGTTAAGTTTTGGGGGTGGAGTTGCTAGCACCACGCCCCAACCCTCCCTCTTTATCCGGGCTTGGGACCGGCTAGAATACTAGTGACCTAGTAATCTAGGCGAGGTTAAGAAAAAAAAACTTGAGTTTATTTTATTTTAACTACCGATAAAAGAGCAAGATAAACGTTAGCCTGGACTCCTTGTTAGTGCCGCCCTGAGCGTGTTTGACTACGCTAACATTCTTGTTCTACCGAATATCCCACAGAGACTGGTTCAAAAATGGGCAGCGCAAAACAGCAGGATCTAAGTACACAAAAATGTGTAAACCTTTAAAATAGTCAGGAGCAACAATCCTGTAAAAAAGGTTCAGAGGAGTTTCATTGCCTCTAAACTACGTTGGATTTAATTTTTCTGTCTTAACAGTAGAATTCTTAAAATGTCTAGTCGTTTTACGGCGCAGATTTGGTTCAAAAGCTCGTGATTTATCTGAAAATGCTTAATTACGATATATCCTTTTCGTTTCACAAAGTTTGTTTTTGATGTTTCCATCTAATGGCACACGTTTACCTCAACGTATCACGTATTATTTAGTAAATTTTGATTTCGTTCAGTTTCCATCAGTTTATTGACCTAACCGCCACATCTCCTCAAGCCCTTCGTTTCTGTTTGCTTGTGCTAGGATCTCGTCTTCTTTTCCTTTCGATGTATGCAAAAAACCTTATAAGTCAAAGATGGCAATCAAACTACCCCACAGTTTCCCATTTTAGGGTAGATTTCTCTAAGAACTTGGAGAAAAATATATTGATCAGTAGTTCTTTTTGTATCTAAGTTTCGCATTAGTAGTAGTACATTTCAATTATGTCGACGCACGTAGGGCTGCCAGCGACCTATTCTAAAGGACTTTTATTGAGATGCCCATCCACTATATAGACAGAAGAATAGTATTGCGGTAAAATCGCCACTAGGTCTACTACTAGCTGATCGTTTTATGTCAAAGCTTGAGAGAACACTCCTTAGTCAGGACATTGGATGACTTGGTATCTCTAGAAGATATGGAAGCAACACTTTCGTCACTTATCATAAGCATGTAGTTTTTTTAAATAGTAGTTTGTGTTCAAATAACAACTACCATCTATCTTTAAAATTTGCCCTAGAAAAGAAATCTGAACAAGATATTTATTTTCTTGATTTGTAATGATGGATATCATGAAATATCTACCCGTCAAAAACGTATATGGAATGAGCATTTAATTTCCAGAAGAGGAAATCCTATTCATTACTGCTGCTGTAGGATAAGAAAGATTTATGGTTTTAACTGCGATGTCATTCGACGGTTTCCTCAATGTATGCCCGATCCATCTCCATTTTCTCCTACATATTTGTTGAGAGATCGGCTCTTGCTTGTTGGTTTGTTCATCGCCAGACTTTCTTGTTACTAATTCTCTCTGGCTGGTCATTTTATCTTCAGTATGTGGCCAGCCAAGACAGCTGTTGATAAAATTCTGCACTAGCCTGTTGGAAATCCTTTTCTTGACACGCTGGTCAAGTTTCTAACCCGTATAGAAGGACCGAGTTGACATTTGTGTTGAAAATCCGAATCTTGTTGTTTATACTGAGGCGGAGTGCAGAAGATTTCCAAACTGGTTTCAGTTTGATGAAGGCTAATCTTGGCTTTCTGATTCTCGCCGGCTGGCTTTGACATCTTCATCCATTCAGCCCGCCTGTAGTTGAAACGATGCTGGCTGCGTAGATAAGTGAAGGAGGCAACCTCTGTTGATTCTTTCCCTTTGATGGTGATTGGTGCTTGTTGCTGCTGTTGGTTGGTTATCTTCATCACCTCCGTCTTCTCTATGTTCACCTGGAGTCTTGTCTTTGCTGCCTGTATCTTCAGCCAGTTTATTGCTTTTCGCCTGTAAGTCTTCGAGTTTGTGTGACATTATACATATATCATCTGCGAAATCTCCAGATCTTCTAGAGTCTCCTTATCAGTGGTCCAGCGTATTTCTGTCTCCTGGCTGCTCACACACAGTCAGACGCATAATCCAGTCCACCACAATTAAGACTATCATCGTCAGTTATGATAGTTAGCCAACCTTGTCTTACTCCTGCATTCACTTCAACCGCCTCGCTGAGCTTCCTCTTATGGATCACCTGACACTTGGCAGATACACTACACTAGTTACTAGCTAATGTCGAATCAAAGTTAAGTCAGTATTATAAATTTGTAGTCGAGTTCATTCTGTCGAATATATATAAATATATATTCATTCTTACTTTATAAATCTTTTTTTTATAGCTTCCTTTTCTCTCCAACTGACCTCCAGCTATGACTGAACGCAAAGTTCTAAATGTAAGTTTTAGAATATGACATGTATATGTGCTAATTTTTTAATTCATAGAAATATTTTCCTCCAGACTATGATCCTTCAAAAATACCTCGTCTTCGAAGAGGTGACCGACGTAAACAATTCAATATTCGTACAATGGCTCCTTTCAATATGAGGTAAACACTTATACATCATACTAAATCATAGTATAAACAATTCCTTTTTAGATGTAATACATGCAATGGATATATTTATAAAGCGAAAAAATTTAATTCAAGAATGGAAACAGCCGAGAATGTCGATTATTTAGGCCTGAGACATTATCGTTTCTATATACGTTGTCCTTTATGCTGTGCTGAGATTATTTGGCGCGTATGTTATTTGTTATTTATTATTATCGTTATGTTATCTCTAACAGACAGATTTAGAAAGTGGTGATTATGTTCTCGAAAGTGGTGCAAAACGCAATTTTGAAGCATTAAAAACAGCTGAAGAATTAGAAGCGAAAAGACAAGCTGAAGAAGAGGAGGAACTTGCTAATAATCCAATGAAATTGCTGGAAAAAAGAACAGATCAAAGCAAACAAGAAATGGAAATGGTTGAAGTGATTGAAGATCTGAAACAATTAAATCAACGTCAAGCAACAATGGAAGCAGATCATGTACTGCTGAGAAAAATGTGGCAAGAAGAAGAAGCACTTAAAGAGGCTGAAAATGAAGCAGATGAAGCCTTGATAAAGTAAATTACTTTATTTATTGCTTAATATTGATTTTTTCTCCTACAGAGAATTACTTGCATCAAAAGCAGAACAAGTGCATACATTACCAGTGGAAGCTGAAACCAGTCAACCGATGAAAGTGAATAAAGTATCAAGTTAGTGACATTATAATTATAATAGTAAGTATTATTATTATTAGATGGTTGGAGGCAATTGGCAGGAAACTTTGAACACCAGCACCTAGGTTTCGTCCTAGTTGGAACTCATCAGCTAGTAAGACGTATCTGCAATCTTGTAGGAACTAAGGTCACTTCTGAGATTCTAATCAAAGTATCCAGTACAGTCAGTCCTACAGGAGGTCGATTGTGAGTCCGAATAGCTCAATAGTAACGTCTCTACCTCTCTGACTGCAGCACTGGGTGTTGACGCTGGATCGAAGTCTTCCTGCCGATTGCCAACAATTCACAGTGCAGTGCATCGTGATGGTTAGCAACATAGTAGTGGTATGGTGGCCACATTACAAACTTGATTGGGAGAATACAGTCTGCGCTAGTTACTAGCTAGTGTCTAGGCAAAATGTTATTATTATAGAAGCGGTCAGAAACGAACTCATTTTTGACCAAGAACTTGAGCTTAGAACAAAATGTACAATAGAAGACATAATGCTAGGCGTACAGCTATGCCTAACTTCTATAGTATTTAAATTCCAAGGTAAAATATACAAACAAACTGAGGGAGTTGCCATGAGGTCGCCAATATCCCCGGTTGTGTCAGATATATTCATGAATAGGTGGAAAAAGTTAGCGATTGGAACGTTCACTCCCACTCCAAAAGTATGGTGAAGGTATGTAGACGATATATTCACTGTACTTAGAACACAGGATATAAGTAGGTTTTTCGAACACATTAACTCAAAATTAGAGGTAATTCAACTCACTTATGAATTGGAAAGTCAGGAAGGGAAGCTTCCAATGTTAAATTATAGCGTAAAAAGCAAAGAAGATGGGAAGTTAAATACAAGTGTTTACAGGAAACTCACATATTCAAACAGATATTTGGACTTTCGATCATCCCATCCTATATCAGTAAAAATAGGATTAGTGAAATGTTTGAGTAATAGGGCAGAAAAACTAAGTAGTACCAAGGAAAATCTAAGGCAGGAAGTGAGGCACATAAGAGAAGCTTTAAAACTTAGTAATAACCGTGATAAATTAATCAGAATGTAGGAAAATGTAAAAATAAATATTAATGATAGTAATAATAATGACGACATAGATATCAAAAATGCACAGAATAATGACAACATCAACGATATGGAATTGAAATCATCAGTAGTACTTCCATACAAAGAAGGAACCTCGGAAAACTTACGGAGAATGCTTAACAATACAGGCAAGAATAAAATCGGCATTCAAATCCAAGAACCAATTAGAAACAAGCTTTGTCAGTTGAAGGATCATGTGTAGCCAATTAAACAAAACAATTTAGGTTATCTAATAGCCTCATGCAATGATTGTCAGGTCAAACAAATAGGTCAAAGTAGTAGAACAGGTGCAGTCAGACTAGCGGAGCACAAAAGTCTAGGAAACTCTAGATTAGTTGACGCTAATTAGATAAGGAATCTGGGGAATAGTTCAGCTTTACAACTCACTACATGCAATTACACACAACCATGAAATGTAGGATGGATGGGATAAGATGACAGTTTTAAAATCGAATGTCACAGGGCAGAGGTAGGGACTGATAACGGAAGCTTTATTCATTGAATCAACTGAAGAATGATTCAACACATGTCCTCCCGGACATCTGGAAAGTTCTACCACCCCTACGACGAATAAAAAATCTCTAAAACAACAATTTCGAAATTGTTCATGTGATTATAAACTACAATAAATTGTGTTCGAAACGCGTTTTCACTGTGTGATATATCTAATAATCAAAATAATATGGAATTATAATTAATTCCTTTTTTAATTTTTTAGATTTGAAAGAACTTATGAACTCTACTAAAAAAGGACCAGTTGATGTGAGTTAACAATACTATTTTAAATTCTAAGTGTTGGTTTGTAGGGATTTGACTGATTGGTTGCAGGATTTCATCATGAGCTGACATTAGTTAGAAAACCATTGGAGTACTGGACAGCTGTTTCGTCCTAGTTTGCGACTCTTAATCAGTACGCACCCACCGGGGTTCGAAAACAGGGCCTTTCAGTTTCAAGGTGGGCTCGTAGACCATTAAGCCATTGAGACTCTATCCAATGGCCTACACATAAATTTCAACTTCTGCCAATTCACGATATAGCGCGATTGGCACTAGCCAGTGCCATTGCTGGCCAGTATTTGCCCACACACCTGACCTGGTCTATCCCACTGTCCATGACTTCCCACTAGAACCTAGGTAACAACCTACCTGATTAGGACCACTGGTCGCGCTGTATGGCAGAAGTTGGAATTCATGGGCCATTGGCTCGAATCCCAGTGGCTTGATAGCCCACGAGCTCGCCTTGTAATCTGAAGGTCGTGGGTGTGAATCCTAGAAGGTGGGGTGAGTGCGTGCTGTGCTGAAGAGTCCCAGACTAGGGTGAAACCGTTGTCCAGTATACCCAGGTGTTCCAGTGGTTCTCTAATCGATGTTAACTCATGGTGAAAATTCTGTAATTACTTTAAATCATCACAGAGTAGAATTTCGGCACTGTCAAGTCGAATATAATCGCATAAATTTATCTATTATGGGGTTGAAATGATTTCATTTCTGCCTAAATCACTTGTTAGGACTCATTTCCTACGTGGAACAGATCTCTTATACGCCAGACTGTAAGCCGGCCATACACTTGTGTTGTCTGAGTGCTGATTATAATAGAAAATTGCCGACAAAATAGAATAGAGCCTTCTGAACACCTTGAGCGGCAATCTCCGAATGTCTGGCTTGCGATTTGCTCTGGCTGTCAGATGTCAGATGGTGTTACAGGACTGGACTGGACTACATTGACTCCTAGCTTAAAGATATGGAGGCAGGAGTGAGGTGGTTGGTGGAATGTGTAAACCACTTTACTTATTTGGAAAGTTGTATCAGCCGGCCCCAGTGGGTTGATCGCTGACGAAATCTCAGGACGGATACAAAACGCTCGTTTGACATTTGCCAATTTACGCCATGTCCGACTGGCCACAGTCCAAAAGACTTGTGTACTGCTCAATAGTTCTCTGCGTCCTCCTTTATGGCTGTGAATGAGACATGGCCATCGAAAGTGGAAGACTTAAAAAGCCTGGCTAGCTGTCTTTGATCATAGGTGCCTGCGTCCTACCTCCCGTGTGTTTTCGGTGGTGGCATAATAAGGTGAGTAATATTGAGGTTAGGCCTTAGTCAAGTGCTAGCTGGGTAAAGAGGAGGGAAAATCAGTCGACAAGGTTGTGATGTTACATGTTACGCATGACTAATCTAGCTTAGCCATCGCCTTCCTCAAGAATGCACAATCTTATCCGCTGACAATGGATCGATCAGGTTGGGAAAGAGCTAGCACATGGTGGTCAAACCAAAACATTGCTTCATCAGTCAATGAAATAAATCCATAACAGTTAATTTAAGCCAGCCAGCCACGTAGGGAGGTGTAGACCACCAGTCTGGTTGGGGTGTGTCCTTGGGATGGCAAGAACCAATGACTGCAGCTGGAAACAGTTGGTGATGTGGCGCAAAATTATCATTGTCACTAACAGCGCAGATACATTCACTCTTTTTGTGTGATTTGTCAGTTACATCCAATAAAATTCTATTGTTCTTCCATACCAATACTGTTTTTCTCTCACATTTGTGTTTATTATCTCTATTTTGGTGAATCTTCTTCATATTATGACTGTCTTTCTGCCTACCCCTTTGGTGCTGACTATATCAAATCAGGTTTAAAGTGTAGTGGTGACCAAGTCAGGTGACTCACTGTGGTAAAATGCACTTTGAATCTGTCTGTGTCAAATGATCGATTGAAGGTAATCGTCAGTGGAGGCCCTCTCACTATTTATGTTATAATCACTCAGTTTATCATGGTTCTGAAAAGTGGACGGTGGGAGATAGATTGTTCAGTTTCTCCAAGAATGAATTGTGTGATCTCGTTTTAGCCACAACGAAAGTATCATCAGTGTATCAACTTAGCCATATTATAGGTGTGAGTACGTTTGAAAAAATATTATCTTCAAATATATTCATGAAAAGATCAACGACTATTGAGGAAACTGGTGAATCCATAGCGACACCATTTGTCTGTCTATATAAATTCCCTTTGTAACGACAGAAGACAAAAGCCAGTCAACAGATCGTTTATTGACAAAATCAACAGACATTTATAGATTTTTATGTACATTATTATTAGCGTTGTTGTTAGCGGAGAAGCAACCTCTTCTGATTGGTTGTTTTCGTGCTTAAGGTTATCCTGTACTGCCTGTGATCGTTCCTCAGAAAGTAAAGCCATATATCTGCGAATCGTATTTGCGCACGTTAAGTCTGTTGTGATTGGTTGTTGAGTTCCCCAAAGTTAAGCTTTGTTATTGTTTTTCTCATGACCCCAATTCGGGACGTAAATAGCATTGACGTAAATTGTCGTCTACGATTCTGTCCTGTAGACAGCTCTTACTACACCTCTTAATGTAAAATAATTACTTTCTAGACAGAATTTTAAGCTCTGAATTATTTCACTGGTGTCTAGTGGATATCTTTATGGTGAGGTTGTGTCTAATTCTAGTAAAATGAAAATAATATTAAGACTTAATGTAATGGGAATACTAGTATATAATGAGTTAATACCATAGCTTACCATAATATCTTCGTTATCAATTTCCCAGTGTTCGACTTGGAATTTGAAATCATATGAATCTTTTGTAGCATTTTGAGTATCCTTTTGAACTGGCTTTAGTATCGAAAATAAGTATTTGAAGAGGTTGTAAGTCGGTGAGTTGGTAAAATCTACTATCGGTCTTAATGGGAGCGTAGAATCTTGAGCGTACATACGATTTTAAGTTTTAGTTTAATCCAAATAGAATTTCCAATTTCGGTTTTGAATTCTTCAAGGAGTCTGTTGGTATTTAGTTTCATTTTGTTGATTGTTGTTAGCAGATTTCTTCTTTTCATAATCAGTCCTGTTCATTATCACAGTGATGTTTCTCCCTTGTCAGCTTTAGTGTTATTACAATGCTTTTGTCTCTTTTCAAATTTCTTACTGAACATCTCCCATTGTGGTTTGGCAAAAGACAGATAAAAGGCATCTGCAGCTCCATTTTGTCATATATTAGTTGGTAGTGATCATTTAATGACATTCAAGGTGATTCGTCGCACCCCGCTGAATCTTTCCAATGCATTTAGCTGAGGCGATTGACACTCGGACTATTAAACCTAAACTATGCGTTCAAAAGAAGTTCTTACAACCATTATCCCTCCCTTGTTAGCCTATTAAGACAAAACCCAATGGATGACATCACCACCACCCCTTACTTATATTTTCAACGCCTCTCTTATCACCCCTTAATCTTATAACATCTTCATTAAAAAGTATTTTATTTACTTCCCTTACCATCTAGCATTACGTAATCAGTTTATCGACTGCCTCTACCTAAACATTTCCTTGTTAAGTCGTACTGTTTTTCATTATTTTTGTTATCGATAGAATCATTATTATTATTATTATTATTATTATTATTATTATTATGAGTAGTTGCTTAGTCTGTATGCACATTTTATGATTCTGTTGACAAAACAACTGTGATTGGTCTATACCTCAATATTTATTTGTAAAGTTATGTATGTATATTGCAGTTAAGATTGATGAGATCTGATTGAAACCAATATTGTTTGCTTAAATGTTATGTTCTAAATATTCATTCCGCCTAACTGACCTTCTGCCTCCTTGGATGTGTGAGATGCATAGTAACAGTATTTGGCGAGTAAAATTTATGTATGGCTGATATTGAATTACACATTTCTTAAAATTTTGATTGCTATCTTCACCACCATTCTGATTGATATCTTATTGATTCACATTCTGCATTCCATTGAACTCACTCTCTCGTGAACTTCAGGTATCGAAAATTGGGAATCGTTTGGGAAAATGTATTCAGTTAGGAAACCATTGGAAAACCAACTGGGAATACTGGACGGCTGTTTCGTCCTGGTTTTGGACTCTTCATCAGTACGCATTCACCAAGGGTCGGACCCAGAAAGTACGTGGGGTTCCAGTCAGAAGTCGTAACTAACCAGCGGGATCCACCAATTCGGGCAAGAGGACAGTTATTCGCCCGTGACATTGGCTGGCGGTTGCGCTAAACTTATATCACGAACTAGCAGAAGTTGGAATTCATGGGCTAGTCATTGGATCGGTTTCCAGTGACTCAATGACCTGCGAGCTCGCCTTGTAACCGGAAGGTCGTAGGTTCGAACCGTGTCAGTGGGATGGACGCGTACTACTGAAAAGTCCGAAACCAGGCTGACGAAACATCTGGCTGTCCAGTACTCCAGTGGTGGTTTTCCAATAGTTCTCTAACCGATTTCAGCTCTTGATGAAATCTTGTAACCAATCAAATCCCTGCAAACCAACACTTTAAAATGTATTCAGTGTGTATTTATTTGTATTATTTCTTTTGTATTTCTCTTGATTATTCGTTTTTTCAATTTTTTTTACCTTGAAGAGCGGCAAATCCTACTTGAAGAGACAACTTCAAGGTGTTCTGGTCGTGCCAAAGCAACAACAACAACAACAGACAGAAGGGAAGAAAGCGAAAATCGATACTTTATCCAGTGACTCTGTTGTATCAAGTAGCAAAGATACTTCAAGCAGTTTAGTCAACAATCCGCTAAAGAATGACAAGTCGGCAAAAGATGTAGTCACCGATGAACCCGCTTCTTCTTGTACAAATGACAACGATGCCCACCAGGTGTGTTCAGCTTTACCTGGAATGGTGTATTCAGACCACAGTGATAGTGATTAAAGTAACATTTTAAAGAAAATGTAAATACAGCGCTTATTTTATTATTATTTTACACAGTGTTTTGAAATAAATTGTATAATAGACCTCACTGAATGTGACAGGAGTTATTCTGCCTTAGTGAAGACGGGAAACTGACACCTGTAGTGTAGCTTCTTGTAATCGGAAAACACAATACGTGTGTGTTAGTTTGTAATGAATGGCAGAGTACGCCGGAATTGTTCTCTCCCATTTAAATGATGTCCAGTTATGGCCAGACACAGAAAAACCTTGAACATTGAAATCTTCATTTCCACGTGTTCTGTGTATTCTGTTTCTTATGCCTTCAATATTCAATATCCTTGTGGAAGACATGGTACACAGTAATATAACTACTTACAGAATCATGTTGTAACGATAGAAGACAAGGGCCAGGCAGCAGATCGTTTATGGAGAAAATCAAGTGATATTTATAGATTTCTATGTGCATTATTACTAGCGTTATTGTTAACGGAGAAGCAACCTCTTCTGATTGGTTGTTTTCTTGCTGAAGGTTATTCTGTACTGCTTGTGAGGAGGAGGAGATGAGAGATTATGGGTAATCGTGGGCCTGGTCAGCTGTGGATGATAGCAGAGAATAGGAGAAAGTGGAGATGTGTTGTTGAAGCCCTATGTTTCACTCGGAACCCAAGGGAATAATAATGATAACAATTCATAGATTTATAACTGTAGTAGAGCCTAAGGAAGAATTGAGTTAATCGAAAAAACAAATTGTTCGCTCAAAACACCATCTTGTTCTGATCATATACTTATATCAAAAGAAGCAATGTATACACTTAACTCTAATATAAAGTAATTAAAAGGTTAATTATATACTCATTAGAACTTCATAATTCTGTTTTGTATAGTAATAAATTATTTGAAATTTGTACACAATTTTGAAGCGTTTAAAACAACAACAAAAAAGAAGGTAAAATAGTTTTGTCCAATTGTGAATGGTAATAATTAGTAGTATCATAATCAATAATCAAATGTTACTTCGTTGCATTTAATTTTTTATTTGACAATTTTGAAGTTCTATTCTTCATCTGTTCCTTCTTCAACTGGATCATTCAACTAAATCAAAGAAAAATTAATTAACTGATTAAAAATGCCCATTAAAATTTTTCAATAGAATAGTTAATGAACAAAGAATACTCTTTTCGATAACCTGCTCTTCTTCATCAGGTTCTACAGTTCTATATACATAATGGTGAATGAATTATTGTTATGAACAACATTAATGCTGTTTAAATAACATCGAATCAATAATATCAGTAGGTTGCAGTTCAATAACATCAACATAAAATAACCTGAATGTCAGAAAAATTAGGGAAGATAATATTACAAATTCATGAATTTATAGTCTCCATTGTAGGCCTGTCAGGGCAGTAGTAGTGGCTGGCTGGACTTGCTTCTTCTGCACACAAAGCACCGGTTGTTTCATACGGATCGCAATAGCCTAAGCTGTCTGGAGTATTTGGTACCCGGTAGATGATGGAGAAAGATTCGTCAATGCTGGCTGGCTTAGTGGCTGGTCACTTTGCACCAGGTGGTCTAATATCGAACTGTTGATGAATTTTACTATGCCTTTACTTAGCCATACTGGGAGATGTTCTCGAGATAGCACGAAAAATCAAGCTCCTAGATCAATGGCTGATATCACTCGCTCCACTACAGACGCAGTTTAGTTGATAGATACAACTGGAAGTGGCTAGCTAGTCTCGGTACTTCATCTTTCAATCGAGGAATCACCATCGGTCGTGTAGAAAGCATGACTTGTAATCTACCAACATTAAGAGTTCTTTGATGCATAGATTTTCTTAACTTGTTAGTAATTATTTCACTAGGTGCGTCATTGGGCCATTAGATCGGGTCCCAGTGGCTGGCTGAATGGTCTACGAGCTCGCTATCCTTGTAACCAGAAGGTCGTGGGTTCGGATGCCGGTGGATGCGTACTGCTGAAGAGTCCAAAACTAGGCTGAAACAGCTGTTCAGTACTCCCAGCTAGTTTTTCAATGGTTCTCCAATAGATGTCAGCTCATGATGAAATTCTCCAGGCAATCAAAAGAAAAGTTAATAAAGTGCAATTTAATGAATTCATCAAATCTTGGTAGTACTCTTCAACTGAATACTCTACAAACAGGTATATATATGTATACCATTAGAATTATATTAGGAGATATAAAACCGATGAACAAATGAATTAAATTGAATCAATCATGGCAAACGGGTATGTAGAGTATTCAGCTGAAGAGTCCTTCCGAAATTTGATGAATTCAATAAATCGTACTTTACTAACCTTTGGTATTTGTTTTAAATTCATATCGGGAAATAAATGTACCCAATTCTTAAAGTGAGTTAGTTGTTAATATTTGAAGATTTTATGTTCAAATAGAACTATATGTTTTCAGAGGCTGTACAGTTGTATTTATATTAGCTAATGGTTCTCCAGAGAACTTCATCACTTGTCATAGTAAGGATAGACCACATCTAGAAAAGACTGCTTTTGTACCAAGGAAAGCTATCTTTACTAACCTGCCATTCAAGGGTGACCAGATTATGCAGTTGACAGCTCAAAGACTTCGGTTAGCCATCAAGCACACATTCTACGCAGCATCTCTTTCCCCCATATCTAAAAAATTTCTGATCCCTGTACCTACGATTAAAGGACGAAATTCTACAGACACTACTTCAAACTGTATCTACAAGTTCACCTGCAGTTTCGGTGACACTTATATAGGTAGAACCAATCGGATCTTCCAATGTCATCGAAAATAACACGTTCCAAAATGGTTATTAAAACATACAGAAAATCCCAATACAATTAATCTGAATAGAAATCCATCATCAGGTCACAAAGTCAATATTAATGACTGCTACACATAACTCTAATTCAAGGTTGGTTATTGAAGGTGATGGAAGCACTTTGGATTAATCACATACAGCCTAAACTATGTGTACAAAAAACAATAGACTCCAACCTTCGCCTACCATGAACTACGTGACCTATTCAAACATGATTGGTCATTAGGATGTACTTTTGTTCTATATAACTGAGTAATTGTCATACATTTTATTTTATTATTGTGAACCATGTGAGTTGTAAACCAACTGTAAAGAAACAATGAAATGACGATATCATCTCGCGAAATTTAGCCTTATTCAAATTTATCAAAGGGACTAATTGTTTTAATTTATATTTACGGAAAATGCATAGTAGTCCATTAATGAGTAATAGGGTTGTGGGGGATGACACAATTGATCCAATTACTCAGAAGTGGCTTTATAAGTAAAAATGAAAGTTACAAATTATGTAAGACTCAATAATGGCACAAAAAAGAAAGTGTCAGAAATTCTGATGAGGTTAGAACTGTTATTGAGTGAGAAGAAAGACAGTTGAGTGTCGATTTAACAAGTATGAAGAGGGTGAGAAAATGTACAAAAGGTACATATGAAAGTGATAATAGTGAATTAGTTATTAAAGTAAAAGCAAACTAAATGTAGAAATTAAAAATGTACGGGGAACGACTGATGAAGAGGTTAAGACCATGGTAGAACATTTTCTGTATACAGAGTTTGGTGTTATATTGACGAATTGTCAACGCCTCCGCCTTACACAAATGCCGAAACCTGATGCCCTTTGCACCATTTCGTCTCACCTTGTAGATAATCTTGAAAGACGACCCTGGTGGAGCTACATGGCTTGACTTCACCAAGCGCATTGTCCTTTTGCTGGCCAATGTTCAGAGATGCGTTTAGAAAGTGTGCGTTTTGTGCGGCCAATATAACTAGCTCCTCAGGAGCAGGTTTATCTATAAACATACATTGAAGTGGCCCAAAGAGGCCGTAGTTTATCCTTTACATATCTATTGACAATTAGTCGGCTGGGGAAATTGATCCGTAGCTCAGCCGAAAAGAAGGCTTTTCTCAGTGATATGCATAAGCGGTTCTTCAGGATCTCAGTGGTGGTATCTATCACCTTTAAATTCAACATTCATGAATAGCAGTTTCTTCAACACCATCTGGATTCTTTCGGGCTTTTTCTTTACCTTCATGTTTTTCTCGATGAATCCTAAAGGATATCCATTTTCCAGGAGGACTTGTGTGATTCATTGATAAAGACAATTTTGTTCGCTGAATTGTATTTCATTTCCCCCATGACTCAGTGGGTATTTTGGGTGAACTGTATATTGATTGGATACTAGTAACTAGTGTGACGTGTCTAGTCCTTTCTTTGGTGCAGACTGAATTCTATCAGTCAGGTTTGCTGACTAACTGATGAGTGCCAACTAGCACGAAAGATAGGTCCAAGGCTTCCTGCCGATTGCCTCCAACTATCAAATATCATCAAATCAATGTGCACCGTGATGGTGAGCTACCTAGTGGCATGGTGGCCACATTGCAAAACCTGACTGATATAATTCAGTCTGCACCAAAGAAAGGACTAGACACGTCACACTAGTTACTAGTGTTCAATCAAAATACCCACTACAGGAGGTCAATCGCGAGCCCGAATAGCTCAGTGGTAACGTATCTCTCTGACTGCAGGCGGTACTGTGTGACGCGGGTTCGAATCTCAGAAGGGACATGAGTTCCTTCAAGGCTGCAGGTATGTCTTGCTGACGAAATCTAAGTCGAAGGCTTTCTGTGGCCGATTGCCTCCAACTATCTAATATCATGAACTATATATTTTTTCATTTAGGGTGTATGTGGGCAGTAAACTTGTTATTGTTTAACACCAACAATTCGTATTCAATTCGTGAAGTCGAATTGTCAAATATATGCACGTACTTAAACTGCCAGCATGTGGTCGAGATTGTGATAGATTTAGAATCCTATTGGGACAGAAAAAGTCCTGGGAGGCAGTGAGTGATTGCAGGAATCGGGGAAGGCAACCTGAATTACTCATTCACTTCTTACATTCACGATGGGACTCAGGCAAAGTGGTGTAGCTTCCAGCTTCCATGCTGAAAAATATCAGCATGATGTCATTAAGAATCATAACTTGCACATTTCAGCAGTTACATAAACTTCAACTGTTACAGGGTAATTCTTATATAACCATGGTAATATATATTCAGAAATAACAGCCTACCTCATTATTCACTCCGTCTTTTTCGCCTTCTGCCTCTCCTTCAACTGGATCTTCATCGTTTGCATAGTCTTTTTCAGGTTGTTCATTCGACTCTTTTTCGTATTCTTGTACTGAAGGAGACGAGACATCAACATTTTCACTGTCTTCTTTATTACTATTCTCCTTGTCTAATTTACCAGTTAAAGCAGCACCTGCTTCTTGAATCAATGCCATTTCAGCTGCCATCAACTCTAGTTGACGATATTCATGATGTCTTTCTTGAACAACCTAAGGGATGAATAACCAGAAGGTGTTAGAGATAGTTTTTTTTAATAAAAAAAAGCAGATAAATGGATCACTTGTAGAGAAGATATGTACCTCAGGATAAGGATTCAAATAGTAAGATATTTCCCAAACTTTGATATTTGATCGGAAGGTTTCATCAACAGGATTTGTGATATTTTCAGCATGAACTTTATTAAGAGGCTGGTAAAAACTACCGTTATTTAGATTTTATCAGTAACCAGGAAACTTACTGATCAAATCCCCGCAAACCAACACTTGAATGCCAATCTAATGCTCACCAATGACTGGTCCTATTCATGTAGGTAGTTACCTAGGTTCTATTGGGAAGTCGTGAATAGTTGAGGGTACAGTTGATCGGGTGTGAGGACAAATACTCGCTAGCGATTGCATTCGTAAGTGCCGGTGACGCTATATCGTGAATTAATAGAAGTTGGATTTCATGGACTGGCCATTGGATCAGGTCCCAATGCCTTGTAACCACAAGCTACTGGGTTCAAAACTCAGTGGGGTGAGTACTGTGAGGAGTCCCAAACTAGGACGAAACAGCTGTTTTTCCAATGGTTTTCTGATCAGTGTCACTCCATGATGAAATCCTGATACTGATCACTCTGTCAAATGTTGGTTTGCAGTGATTCGATTGGTTACAAGATTTCATAACGAGCTGACATCAGTTAGAGAACCACTGGAAAGCCAACACTTGAGTGGTGGACACCTGTTTCGTCAGACTAGTTTGGGACTCTTCATCAGTACGCATCCATCCCACTGCCAGGGCTCGAGTCCAGGACTTCTCGCTCATGAGGCTATCTCGTAGACCCGGCCTAGTGGTCGATGAATTCCAACTTCTGTCGGTCCGTGATATATATTTAGCTCAGCCGTCAGCCAATGTCACGAGCAAGTAACTGTCCTCTTGTCTAACTTGGTAGATCCTGTTGGTTACAACTTCTCACCAGAATTTCAGGTAATTCTTAGGTTTAATGCCTGGTGGATGCGTACTGATGAAGAGTCCCAAACTAGGACGAAATGGTTATCCAGTACTTGAGTGCTGGTTTTCAATGGTTCTCTAATTGAGATGTTAGCTCGTGATCAATCCTGATCTCTTTGTACAAAATTTGTGTATTGGTGGCACAGCGGAAAGGGCACTTGCCGATCATGCAAATGGTCCGGGGTTCGATCCCCAGCCGACGCACTGCTTTGCCTGGCTAAGCCAATAAGAAGACTGGTAAAGAGGGAAGGTTGGGCATGAGGTGGCTAGCAACTCCATCCTGTAAAAATAAACACCACTGCTACCGAAACTTCAAGGCTCTAGCTTGGAGCCTTATGTTCCACTGGGAACGTGAAAGAATAAAAATAATAATAACTCACTAGGTCTTACGTTAGCTAACCAGAATTATCTTTTTTATGTTTCAGTCTGTGAGTTACACTTAATCTATCAAGGCTTCCAGACTTTATAATGACGAACTGGATATAAAAACGGTAACAACTGTCTACCACCACAGTGCCCAAATTCTACACTTATATTACTGATTTACGTATAATGTCACATGAACTCGAAGAAATCCACAAAGGTGGCAGAAGATTAAGCAAAGACAGAACTTCAAGTGAACATAGAGAAAATGGAGGTGACAAAGATAACCAGCCAACCAACCAACAATAACAAACAGCACCAACAACAGGAGAAATTCGAAAGACACCATGCCCTTCACTTATGTGGATTGGCAGCATTATTTCAACTATAGGAGGCATGCATGAGGATGTCAAAACCAGATGGACAGGCCTTCATCAATTGGAAATCAGTTTGGAAATCTTGTGGACTCCACCTTAGCATAAACAACAAAATTAAGACTTTCAACACAAATGTTAAGTTAGTTCTCATATATTGCGCAGAAACTTGGTCATCGCTTCACGAAAAGCATTTCCAACAGGCGAGTGTAGACTTTTATCACTAGCTTCATAGTGAGGATCAAACGGCTGGCCAGAAAGAACTGACTACAGGAAACTATGGGAAGAAACCAACAAGCCAGAAAATATTGCTCAACAAATATGTAGCAGAAAGTAGAGATGGATTGGGCACATGCCACTGAAGAGACCATCAAATGAAATCGCATTCAACGCAGTCCCTTGGTAACGACGAGTGAGTGAGGCATCGCTTCGAGAAGGACATGGAGGCGATAGTGCAAGAAGGGGATGAGAAATTACGAACAATCGTTGACCCAGCTGAAGAGGACTGCAGAAAATATAATAAAGTGGAGATGTGTAGTTGAAGCCTTGTGTTCCACTTGGAACCCATGCGAATAACAACAATAATGTGCAAGTGAAAATTTTAATGTGCAAGTTTTCTGTATTTCTTTCATAAGTGAACTTCGTTCTGAGGGATACAACAATTCTTCCTGCGAAATACTACCGTACTCTGTCGTTACGATGGCTACGTATACTTTCTCACTCAGATTTATTTTTCTAAATGAGTAAGCGAAAATTTCCACCCTATAAAAACATTTAATTACTTTTTTCTAAGTCAGAAATTTATACAGGACATACTTATAAAGACTGAAATCCTCTGACTGACCTCTCTTATCATTCCGTCTAACAACAGGCGAGCATCATTCTCCAACTGCAGCTGTTCATCGATTTCTTCCATTAGCCAAGGTAAAAATCCTTCTTCAATATCTACAGAAAATATGAGATAAGGGTATAGTTAGCAAATGCTATCAAGTCAGAGGACTATAATAATAATAATAATAACAATAATAATATATATATATTCCTATATATGCAGGAATACACCAATTGTACAGGCATGGATAAGTATTATTTAAACTACATAAATTTCGTTTGCGGCGAATTTATATAGGTGCTGTTCTTTTTGATCTGAGTTTGAGGGAACAGTCTGCTATTTAGTCATTCAATCAATCACAGTTAGAGGTATAGGAATATTGTCTTTGCATTGACAAAAAAACCCAAGTCTGCGTTGGATGGTTCACAAATACTCGGGAAAAAAATGGAGCTTGAAGTTAATTCTCTTATATAACTTTTCTGTGTATAGCGTTGCATCTTATTTTCAAGTATTGGTTTGTAGGGATTTGATTGATTGGTTACAGGATTTCATCATGAGCTGATATCGGTTAGAGAAACATTGGGAAACAGCACTCGAGTACTGGATAGGTGTTTCGTCAACCTATTTTGGGACTCTTCATCAGTACGTGTCCACCCACTGACTAGCGACTGGTCCTATTCGGGTAGACAGTTACCTGGATAAGTTCTAGTGGGACGTCGTGACCAGTAGGGTGCAGCAGGTTGGGTGTGAGGACAAATAGTCACCAACCATGACATTGGCTAGCAGTCGCGCTATATCGTGAATTGGCAGAAGTTAGAATTCATGAACTGGACACTGGATCCGATGCCGGTGCCTGGCTTAATAGTCTACGATCTAGCTTGTTTTGCAACTAAAACGTCCGGGGTTCGGACCCTGTACTTATAATTCAATTGTTAGTTTGTAGGGATTTGATTGATTGGTTACAGGCTTTCACCATGAGATGACGTCGACTAGAGAACCATTCGAAAACTTTCAGAGAGTATTGAACAGCTGTTTCGCCAAGCTGGTTTGGAACTCATCGCCAGCGCGCATCCATTCCTCCACTGCTGGCGTTCGAACCCGCGACCTTCTGGTTAAAACGCTAGCGAGCTCGTAGACCATTAAGCCACTGGCACCCAATCCACTGACCAGTCCATGAATTCCAACTTCTGTCAATTCACGACATAGCGCGACTGCTAGCCAATGTCATCGCTGGTGAGTATTTGTGCTCACACCCGAGTTGCTGCACCCTATTGGTCACGACTTCCGACTAGAACGCCAGGTAACAACTGTTGATATTATGAGGCAAAGTCCTCTTTCTTCCTTTCCTTCTCTATGAGTAGTTTTGAATAAATGGATCGCATTTAAATTCATAATTCTAAGTGAAATTCAAAATATGAATAATAGCAGATGCATCCACGACCCCCTTCCCCAGATTACAAGTACCTACCAAACAATACTGTACTCAGTGTAACTTACCGTCAATTTCTTTAATAAATGTAAACCACCATCAACCTACCTCTTTCAATCGGATCATAAAAGTATCCATTTTCGGATAAAATACTGAATACATGAGGTTGTAAATCAGACAGATAGGCTTTAGCAAATGCTTGTGCAGCGACTTTGACAGCTAGTTCTCTTTCTTGTTCTGCAACTGCTAAAAACTGGGCTTTACGTCTTTCTTTTTCTTCTCTGGAAATTTAAGAATAAGATTAAATCAGGAGGGGTTTTATTTACCACATAGAATAAACTGCCCAGGGACGCCACTAACTCCAAGACTTTGAGAAACTAATAAATAGAGGAAAATCTACTTGTAATTAGTTCGTTATTTAAGCTAATTACGGATTCTAAATCATTCTTGAGATCTATTTTACAGAAAAACAGCCTGGTAAATATCTTGTTGCGCTTTTAAGTAACTGGATTAATAATCAAGTGTTGGTTTGTAAGGATCTGACTGGTTACAGGATTTCAACATGATCTGACATCAGTCAGAGAACCGTCAGAAAACCATCACTCAAGTGCTGGACTGATAGTTATTTCGTCCTAGTTTGGGACTCTTCAGAATTGGGCACCCACCCTACTGCCAGGGCTCCAATCCACTACTTTCCAGTTACAAGTCAAGCTAGCTCGTGAACTATTCCGCCACTGGCACCCAACCCCTCAATGTCTAGCCCATGAATTCCAGCTACCGACGATTCACTATATAGCTCAACTGTCACTACACAATGTCATCACTGCCAATTATTTGTCCTCACAACCAACCTGCTGTATCCCAGTGGTCAGGAATTCCCACTGAAGTCCAGGTAACTACCCACCTGAATAGGGACGGTAGTCGCTAGTGAGGATCAGATTAATATTCAAGTGTTGGTTTGCAAGGATCCGACTGCTTACAGGATTTCATCATGAGTCGACATCGGTCGGGGAACTATTGGGAAATCAGCAAAAAGTATTAGACAACTACTTCGTCAGCAGTACACACCCATCCCACCGCCATGGTTCGAAACCAGGACAAGCTCGCCTTGTAACCGAAAGGTCAACATCCAATGATCCAACAAATTGAAGAGAACAAGTGATTGAACTAACACACTGAACTATTAATCGATAGGCAGGACATTCAATACCCAAACTGCGTCGATAAATGTCATAAACAGCTTCATTATCAGTCATAAATGAGCAATCACTTAGTTATAAAGTAGTATTGTGGTGAGAGCTGGCTGCTAGCCAAAGTTGGTAGACAGTAATTGACATCAATGTTTATGTCCCCAATATTGGTGGTGAGAAAATGAGAACAAAGGCTTTGCGTAGGCGAATACAGTTAGCATATGGATGATCTGACACAGCCACAAAGAGATGCATGGTTAACTTTCTGTGAGAAACAACCAATCAAAAGACTGTATTTTCTACTAACAGTAATCTACAATAATGTACATTAAAATCTATAAATATGCGCTGATTTTCCTTAATAAAAGATCTGTTGCCTGGCCCTTGTCTTCTGTTGTTACAGTATGTGTATTCAGAATAGAAACTATATGGTTCAACTACACATGTGGATATTTGTGGTGGTGGTGGGTAGATGAAAAATTCACCTTTTAATTTTTTTATTAACATAATTCACAATGAAACATTCTAACAATAAAAATTTGAAAATCCAGATCCAAGTTAAACACTCTTTATCTGAGGGTGCATGCTGCTGAAGAGTCCCAAACTAGGCTGACGAGTAGCCTGTCCAGTACTCGATGTTTGGTTTTCCAATGTTCCTCTAACAGATATCAGTTCATGATGAAGTCCTGAATTCAATCAGTCATTCCATCTTAAATGAATGTTCACCTTCCTTTACGCATTCCTCTTGGCTGCTTGAAACTATAATAATAATAATAATAATAATAATAATAATAATCTGCTTTTTTCCAAAACAGATAGTACTTATAATACAGAATGGAATTCTCAGCATTTGTAACAATATTGCAGCTGATTTACTCAAAATATAAATAAAATTAAAAATTAAAACAAAATTAATCGGAGAAATTTGTCCACATTTACGATATAAAGTCAAAAATATTCGAAGTATAAATTGAAAATAATAAATATAGTAATAATAATAACGTCGGGTTTGTTTCAAACAGTATTGTCGATTCATCTTGGAAATTTTAGCATGTTGTAGATTATTGAATCAATGTTCTGCTGATACAGTATGGTGAGGGGAAATACAAAATTAACAGTTATAACACAGCCTAAATGATGTCCACACTTATGCAAAAATACACAAATAAAAACAAAAAATTGAGAGGATTATAAATATAAGAAGTACAATAACAATAAAGGTTGATATTATAAGGGTGGAGAAAATGGTTTATTTACTAGTGCAAAGAAGGTTAGTTAGTTCGTGCCTGACATTATTTTCATCACATAAAATATGTACCAGAAATGGTATAGTGGAATTTTTATACATAGACATACGTGCATAAAGTCTTCTGAAAAGACTTCTTGTTTTACCTGAGGAGACACAAGGTTGGAGCTGCAAGTGCTGCTGTGGATGTTCACAGTCTGAAAAAGTTCCCTTAGTGAATTTTCTGCAGGAAATCAAGTGCCTATCAGTGACGATGTCAACGATATGGCCCAATGGGATACCACTCGCCCTACTTACAGTTCTCAAAGTTTTACGAAGTATGACATAGTCGTTTTTAAGCAATGCAGGGAAGAATAAAGTTGAAGAGTAAAGAAGAATAGGTAAGATGCAAGAGTCGACAAACTGTAAGAGGAGGGTTTGAGTTATGCCTGAGTGCCTTAACTTCTTAATGTAAAAATTCAGACGAAATATTCTTTTAGAAATCGCTAAGACATGGGAAGACCAGGATAAATCAGAAGAAAGAATTAATCCAAGATACTTAACTTCAGACTTGATTTCTATATCAATATCATCAATTTTGCAGGCGTCATAGGAACCAACAGCTCCATTTAACTTTCTTTTACATCGGAAACTGAAATTAACAGTTTGACATTTGGAAAGATTTAGTTTAAGACCGTTAGACGGAGACTATTTGCTAACTCTTGATAGAAAGCTGTTCATCTTAGTACAGTCTAACTGAGAGTTAACAGACATTGAAAAAGTTAGATCATCGGCATACTTAACAAAGTTCATTTCATCATCATAGTGAGGCAAGTCAGGCAAGAAGAAAGAAAACAGAAAAGGAGAAAGGACAGAACATTGAGGGACACCAGCCTCAGTAAGCAATGAAGTGGACGACTTCCCCTTACATACAGTGTACTGTTTTCTTCCTGAGAAATAAGAATGCAGCCATATGACAACCCAACAGTCAGTCATATATATATTCTTGAGCACACATACGTATGTATAACCAGTGTATATAACTTACTGTATTCGCCTTTCACGTTCTGCAAGTCTAGCAACTTCTAACAGGTCAGCTTGACGTATCTCTTCAAAAGCATTCTGTTGAGCACGTATACTGGCTAGTTCTTCTTCCTCAGCTATTTCTAACAGAGACTGTTCAATTGTTTTTCCAATTAATACTTCTAAAATTGGTTTAACCTCTAAATCAAAATCGAAAAGCTAAAAAAAAGATTGAAAACATATATGGTCACTTGTATAAATTAAAAGTCATTCTGAACGAAGAATATTCTTTTCAATAATTTCTCCTCTTCAGGTTCTTATAATTATAAAATGTAATGTATTTGTTGTCGTTACAATAATGAGATGCTCACTAGCGACAGGATGTATTTAAGTAGGTAGTTACCTGGGTTTCTTATGGGACGTCGTGACCAGTAAGGTGCAGTAGGTCTGGTGTTGAGGACAAATACTGGCTAGCGGTGGCACTATGTCGTGAATTGGCAGAAGTTGGAATTTATGCACTAACCAGTGGCTTAATGGTCTACAAGCTAGCCCACCTTGTAACTAGAAGGTCCTGGGCTCGAACCCTGGCAGTGGGTGGATGCGTACTTCTGACGAGTCCCAAACTAGGACAAAACAGCTGTCTGACAGTACTCGAGTGCTCTTTTCCAGTGGTTATCTAACCGATTTCAGCTCATGATGAAATCCTGGAACCAATGTGGCAGATACATATTTCACGTAGAATAACAGATTAGTTATGGGATGGCTTGCCTAGAATTTCTTGGATGACCTTGACTTCTTTCTCTACACAGTCTTCGGAACAAATGGACCCTGCTGTAAGTACTTAACACCTGATCAGATTACCTTTGTATTTCATCAGTACGAAGCTAAGGAATTGTGTATACTGAGCTTTGGTCTCTAGCTTTCCAAATTCGGTTCTTTTGACGGAACCATCCTGTCTTCTCCTTAGTAGGATGTCGAAGAAGTGCAGAGAGTTGTTGTATTCTCCTTCGTAGGTGAAATGGACTTCCGGGTGAGCATTATTGAAGTTGCACAAAATCAAATCACTACATAATCCTTCAATGTACACTACAAAAGTGTCATCCCTGTAACGACAGTACATTTGCATGTTTCCTATTTCATTATTCAACAAGAAGTGAACATTTGTTGTACGTTTAACAAGTAGTTGTTTCAGATTACTAATAGGAATATCAGTGCACAATTTCCTTTCTATAATCTGTTCGCAGATATAATCGATGATTTCCACTAGAGGCACATTAGTGAATAGAGATGAAACATCAAGTGATGCCATATATTTGCCAGTTGCGTTCAAGTTTTTAATCTTGTCAATAAATTGAAAGGTATCCTTGACTCTATGCTTCACTAACTCGTCATGCAAAGGTTGAAGTAGCTGTACCAGTCACTTTGCCGTCTTGTGATAGGGTGAATGAGACATTTCTAATATTGGATGTAGGGGCACACAAGCGTAAGATGGTGCTTTCTGAGGGTTTCATGTTTTCAAATCCTTTAATAAGTTTGTTATTTCTCTCTCTACTTTTCCCGTCTGATCTTTCATTATTTTTGGCTTCTGAAACTTGCTGCCATCATCTAGTCTGGAGTTCATCTTGTTTATCTAATCCTGCCTGTCCATAATTATTATCCACAGTACCTTATCCAGTCTGGTAATAACTGTTTTTATTTCGTCTTAGTCGTTTAACAGCCTCTCGATGGTCTTTTGTGAGTATACTATGGGACTTATTCTTATTCTTCTGTCCATACTGATAACAACAGTCCACCAGGGTTGATTTGAATCTTTCGAGGTCCTCATCACAGGAAGTGACCTGTTTGTATATAGAGGTCCTCGAAATGTACATCAGTGTCAGAATGACTAATCTCCGTACACACGGTGATTCAAGCACTTGTATATAAGAATGCAGACGAAAAGAATAAGAATTTAAAAAAGCTGTATGAATCTTCCATTCTGTAAAATTTCTTTTAATGTTAATAGGACGAATCATATAACAAGATGGATAATTCATCTTAGATGTTGCAAAAGAGTTAGAGAGTCGTCTGAGATCGAAATCACTCAGTGAATATTGAACCCACCTAATTTTTCCCTCTCATCATTAATAAGATTCAATTCATTGACTTTCTCACCAGTAAGAAGATTATGGAATCAATAACAAAAATGCTTTTGAAAAATATGTGAACAAATTCACTTCAAACTGCACTGAAGGTTTAAATCGTTATGGAACTATAAGCGAACGGATTTAAAAAGAAGTAAATTATTGGTGGGTGGTGATTAGCAGTGGACGGAATCCAGGATAACGCGCATTTCGTCCTACTTGGGGCTGGCTCGTCAGCTGGATGTGCATATCTGCATTCCCCCCCCCACTCCGTGAGACTCGAATCCAGCACCCATAGTATCCAATGTCAAATAATTACTAATACCCGTTACACAAGAGGTGGTGACTCTCGTGACCCATATGGTCTAGTGGATAACACTCTGCCTTTTGAAACGATGGGTACTGGCTTCGAGCTTGAATGGGGGGACACCATCACTGACTCACTCACTGGAGAATGCAGGTACATACACCCAGCTGACGAGTCAGACTAAAATCGGACGAAATGCGCGTTTTCCTGGATTCCAGACATCTTCGAAGCATCTGCACTAGAAGCTGACGCGTCAGTCTGAGGCCTAGCACTTCGGGGTCCAGTCAATCAACGGTAAAGTCCCAACTGAATTAAGTACATCTGAATTGAGTCAGTTAATTTACTTATCAACAGAGATATGATGGTGATTGATTAACCTATTCGACTGATAAAAAGTAACGCATCAAAAATGACACATTCAGATCAATGCTATCAGTGATTAACTATCCTTTGTGCCAAGTTGTTTTACGAAACAATATAATTTGAGTAATTATTTCAAATGCTCATTTCACGCTGGAATCAAATTTACGGTTGAATAACCAAAAAATTTAAAATATTAAAAAAACTAAAACCAGGAGCATTATTTCCTTTCCAGTTAAGTCATCATTAAAATTTCAACTGGAGAACTACAGAAACTAGAAAGTGCTGCATAACTGTTTCACTCTGGTTTGAGCCTCTTTAGTAGTGTTCAGCAGTAGAACTCAGGACTTCCACAAAACCTTTCATCTAATTAGACAATGTCCAGAAATTCATAAGATTTGAATTCTATAATGACTACTGGCCACGTAGTTCGAGGGTTTGATCTCTGTCAGGGTCTTGAATGGGTACATTTGAGCAGTCCTTAATTTCAATTAGATGTTATCGAGAAGTATTTTAACTAACTCTATAAGTGTGAATACCAATATGGTTAAAAAACCTAAAACATCTGAAAGAAAAATCGGGTTTTATGAACAACACAAACGTGATAGTGGTTAAGATACGTAGGTGGTACTTTTGTAGTTCTAAAACGAGATCTACAAAATTCTATTCTTGGAGAAAGTGAACAATCCATCTCACTGCTTCCAGTTTACTTAGGAAGCAGAATCAGATGTCGGTGGACTACCATTTCTAGACTGCCTGCCTAGTTAAGAGGAGAACAAATGGATATTTTAATATATCTATATTCAGGAAGAAAACCCAATCCAACAAATATTTAGACTTTAGGTCATCACACCACATCAGCGCAAAGGTATCAGTTGTTTCAAACCTCCTTAGACGAACACACTCCTTGATGCTAACGTATGCGAAGTAAAAAGAAGAAGAAATATCAAGCATTACTGAGACTCTCAATCAAAATAACTACCCAAAGAATTTCACAACGAAATCAACACTAAACGAAAACGTATTCCGAAAACATGGGCCTCAATAGTTGTCATTCCATATAGATCAGAGACGTCAGACGATGTCAGAAGAGTACTCAATAAACGCAAACAACATCAGAGTCTTCTTCTAAAACATCAGACAAACTGCGAAACAACTTTGTCCATATAAAAGACCAAACCCCTAAGGATTCTCAATCTAATTATGTCTACAAAATAAAATGCTTTGCATCTATGGTGCGATATACTTCAGACAAACCTTACCAGAGAGAGAGAGCGCGATCAAGATGATCAAAAGAAATGAACACTGTAGAGCCGTCTCTGTTCGACCACTGAGAAATCCAGTTGAACCAAAAATGGCTTGAAAAATCATCTGCAATAAGTCCTCTGCACCCTACAGAATCAGGCCATGAAATATTGAAATAATCCGGTGAAAATTTCAGAAATCACAAAGAACATCTCAAATCATCAGAAATACTTCATAGCATCAAATGGAATCCTAATTGTTTGAATGATGCAACACGGAGTGACAGTAAGTTAATGTTTAAGCTTCTCGCAACAAGAAGGCTGAACATTAATGACTGTGAAAAGTTTAGGCAGTTTGTAGTGGATCGAATGATTATCGATCTATATGTAATAACTTTTTATACAATAAGTTTTAATTTCGGTGCTGTTTCGGGTAAAATTACCCACGAATTATTGGAATTATACATATACATATATATAAAGTATAACGGTATGATATGCTTTAATAATTACTGTGAACTGTAAAGAAAGTTGACCCACTTTCAGCAAGAGTATTACCGAAAGTGTAACAATCGAATAGTTTCTAATGCATTTGTGGAAACTTAAATCATAGATCTGTCTGTGCGTGAAAAATTCTACTGAACTTCACTACCTTTGTATAACATCTCTCTGCAGTCCTCTTCAAATGGCCCCACGATTTTCTGTCATCTCTCATCTCCTCCATTTCATTCTCAGACCCACTCACAACTCGTCATTTCCCATTAAGATTCCACTTCAATCGACCGCCTGCATTGAGTGCCGTGTCACCCGACAGTCTCCTCATTGGCATGTGCCCAACCCATCTCAATTGTCTTCAACATATTTGTTAGTTAGCCTGTTCCCAGAGTTTCCTGTTACCAATTCTTCATAGTCACTTAATCTCCAACGTGGAAGGATGGCAGCTACTGATAAAAGTCTGTTGGAAATGTTTTTCATGACTCACACTCACTGCAAGTTGTTTCTCATACACACAGAAGAACTGACTGACTTCACATATGCGTCGAAAATCCAAGCTTTGTTTTTCATGCTGACACGGAGTGGAGAAGATTTCTGAACTGATTTCAGAATGACGAATATTTGTCTGTCTGTCTGTCTGTTTTGCCTTTTCGATCCCGTCTGGTTTTGACATCTTCATTGGTGCCTCCTTCTGTAGTTGAAACGATGTCATCCAGCCAGATAAATGGAGGAAGTGACGTCTTTTAAATCTTTCTCGTTGATAGTGACTGGAGGTCACTGGTGTTGATGTGATGGTGACGGTTGATTGTCTCCACCATTTCCATCTTCTCCATGTTTCCTTAAATTCCTGCCTTTGCTGCACTGCTTCTTCCAGTATTTTGTTGGTTTTTGTCTGTAAGTCTTCGAGTTTGTGTGATCTTCTAGATTCTTCGTATCGATCCAACGCATTCTTGTCTTCTCGTTATCATACGCAGTCCTTTGTATAATTCTACCCACTACAATCAGAAATATCATTGGTGGATAGCAGTCAAGCGGCCTCGTCTTGCTCCTGTATTCAGCATATGGAATGCTTGGATAAGGTTTCCGTTGTGGATCAACTGACACATGTCAGGCATTGTCATACGACAGCTGTTGAATTGGGTTGGTGAAGATTTGGAGTATTGCACGCTTTAGTATGGTATTGAAGTAATTACGAAATTGCTTCGTGGTCAGCGCTGCTGAGAATTTTTCGAAAGTGGAAGAAGTTGAGGTAGTGGTTAGACTGCTGTCCTACGCTTTGTTCGACAGTGATGCGTAGAGTAGCAATTTGGCGATCACATGATTTATCTATCTAGAAACCAACTGGTTCCCGGGGGGAGGGGAGTCAGAGTTCAGCATCGGATGCATGTTGTATTATCTTCAAGAAGATGAGACTTAGTGTTTTGCTTGGCGTGGACAATGGCATGATTCCACGCTAGCTCATGAAGAGGCGTAAGTCAGCCTTCTTTGGTAGTGTCACAATGTAACCTTTCTTCCAATCAGAGACTTTTCTTCCTTGCATATTATTATTGTTCGGGTATGTTTTGCCTCTTATGGATAACCTTGATTTATGTAACTGAACACATCATCAACTCATACCACAAAAAATGCAAATCTCAAGTTTTTATAGAAATCACCGCAAAATCGGTTCCAACTTACATCTCCTTCATATATTTGAGTCATAACATCCATGCCAACTTTTGCTGGTACGTAGTGTGGTGTCGGTGGCCTGTCAAGAAATACATCAGTTTGGCACTCTTCATCTATCTCTTCAACATAGTCTGTTAGGGCTTCCAAATACAGCTCTGTTTGAACAGGTTTATGTATTCTCCCATCCAAAGGTAATGGTGATTTCGGTCTAAGCTTAGAGGGTTAAGAATACAAGAGTATTTAAAAGATTTTATAACATGATGAAACAAATAAAATGATTTGGTCCAAAACAATAATTATATCTTAAGAAATAATTTTCACAAATAAGTCCATTAAATTTCCACATGCAATTTTAGGTGGGCTTACTGTGTAAGTTTGAACAGTCTGTGTTGCTAAAAAAGGTATCTCAATAGAGTTAGAATCGCGAGAACATTCCGAAATTTGCACATCATTTCCATCAAACGTATCAAAAAAGCAATTTACTTTATGTTTACACGTAGTCATAAAAGTTACTACATTTCTGTGAAGTTTATAACCCTTCCTCAATGTTAAGTTTAAATGCAACAGCTGAAATGTACACATTTAAAGACTATTTTCTCATTAAAACTCATTTCAATTGCGATACATTAATGGTGCCACGTATTGTATATATATTCGTACATACATGTGTATACTTCTCACACACACTCCCTGATTGATCGACGTACCTCTTCGCGCAACCTACGACGGGCTGCAGCATTGCGCTTCCTCTCAATTTGCTTTTGTATTTCCAGGGGATCGGGTTGAGCGTGAGCAGGAAGAACATGCAAAGCATATGTGTTTCCCCTGATGACTCTTCGATCGAACATCAAGTTCCCATAGTTATAGTTAACATCCTCATCTCTGTAAATGAATTAAACTAATTATAATAATAGTAATTACAAGTTATCTCGGTATATCTTTTTCTTTGATACAACCTTTGGCTGACTTGCAAAACTATATGTTCCCACAGCACTTCTCGATGGGAGAACACTTGTCATAATTAATCAAAAGAAAACTCTGGAAAATCTATGAATTTCGAAATTGATTTATTGTTTGGTTGCTATAGTCACCTTAGTATCTGGTGTGTTTAAACAAACAGACGGTACAATAAGTAATATCCTCTCGACACGGTAGTCTGAACCAAATTGATTTTTTTGAGGCCAACCCCTGGAAATGATATAATGATCTTTAAACGTCTGTTAGTTTCTGTGTATTTTGTCCATCCAATCTTCTCATCTAGCTTTGGTGGACTCTGTGGTGATCAGTTTGGGATATCGGTTACATTTCACTTCGAGTATGCACTGTGTTAGGTTTTTAGCCCTTCCTCCCTTCACCCATAGCTCATCAACTGTTATCGAAAGTGATATAGGGTTGGTCTTGTAATAATTAAAGGAAAATATTTAAATTGAAAAAGGAAAAAAACATCTAAGTGATTAAAAAGGAAAACAAATCGGTGAAGGAGTAAGCAGAATAGTCAAAATGGTGAAAGAATGTACGGGATTAAAGGATGAATCCACTGTTATAACACCGTTTATTCGTGGCTAAAGGGTGGTCTGGAATTAGTTATTGTATTGTTGCATTATTACCCAGATTCCGTCTAAAGCTTTGCAACGAACGTGTGGTGTGCAGAATGTCCCCTGGGGCTACAGTAGTTCAAGTGGCTGTGGACCGACTTCATGCGAAGAGTTAAAGTGAACTTCCGTGCACTGTATGTGACGTGATATCATGATTATGGCATTCGACAGTGGCTTTTTAAGTCACTTGGTGGGTTTTTGATGTCATACACAATATCAATCTAACTAAATAATAATAATTTGCTTTATTACAAAACAGTACTTGTGATAGAGAATAGAATTCTCAGCATTTTTACTTCAGCATTGCATCCAGTTAGTGCATTAACTGGATCAAACAACGAATGACCTGTAAAAACTAACAACAAAGTAGGATTCGAAAAGCCTAGTTACTCAGAAATATTAACTGAAAAGCAGAACAACCAAATGAAATAAATATTAATATTATTCGGGAAAAGATTTAAGGAACCTATCTGGCTTATCTGGCTGAACTATGGACTGTGAAGATATGCTTGTCACTAGCACAAAGGAAAACATGAAATGATGTCCAAGCCTGGTAGGATTCACAAAGCATCCACAAAAATTCCGCAATGGTTGTGGCTTAGACAAACAGAACTCCGTAGGCATTGCGAAATTGCTTGCCTACCTCGAAATGAAACCTTGTGTTTTGGTTCAACATCCCTCAATGTGGTTGAAAGTATTGGAGCCTCCCTCTACTCTTCCCTAAAATGGACGAGGTAGGAAGTATCTCAGAAAGATACCAGTGGCATCTTTGGTGACCGACTACATCTACCTTTTGACTTTCCGCTATGAGGAAAAGAAAGAGCATTAGCACGAGAATGACACCATAAACACAGCTGTACAGTAGACAGGATGAGAGCAAACAAAATTAAAGATAGCAGAAAACTTCCCCTTTACGTTTATAAGGCATTTTGCTTTTCCATTTTATTTAAGTATACATCAAAGGATGAATAAAACCGAACATATAAAGATGTACCCAAACATATGTTTTCTTGTACCCACGAGTGAAACACCTGAGAAATATAGGAAAAATATAAATATTTCAGTGAGTCCAGTTCACGATATCGGCATTGAATGCCAGTTCAAACACACTCAAGTATATGTTGCAACGACCTGATCACCATCACCACCTTAAAGTTTCAGGACTTTCCAAGCACTTGGGTATGCAATTTGACACTGCTAATAGTTAGTGAAGAAGCCCTAATGTATTGTAGTTAGTCTTGAAAGTTACCCACTCAAACTGTTATTCTCTCTGTAGCAGATCACCAAAATCACGTATCCCAGCAAACTATTGCAGTTGTGGCATTTAACACAAAGATAGCTTCCTACCAACGGCCAGAGTTATCTACTCATGTAAGTAAGTAGGGGCGATCGCTTGAAGTCAAGAGTATAATAACAGCGTCCTAATGAGAGTGGCTATAATGTGCATCAGATGTAACCTTTGTTACAGTTGGACTTATGTTGTGTTCATGCACGTCCCAGTGCTGACATTTACATAAGAAGGTATTGGATTTTGGACACAACGGTTAATTCCATGCCAGAAGAATCTGGATGACATAAATTTGTCCGCAGCAGCAGTTACTCAGAGGTTCGGTAGCCGTTCGGTGAAAAATCAGATGCATCGCATACTTGGGCATAGGATTCACCACATCCAAATAGCCACTGTCAACATCATGATGGAGGGAAAAATAGTTACACCACAGAAAAAAGACACATATATCAGTCTATTAGAGCGATTGTGTGCCATATACCTGAGGGACAGTATAGCCAAACACACACCAGAAACAAAATTCCCAAGCCACTGCATAATATAAATTTACTCCTATTTATGTAGGAACGCAACAGTTGTACAGGCAGTGATAAGCATTATTTCAAATGCATAAATTTGATTTTTGGAGAATTTACATAGCCTCTGTTTGTTCCGGCTCTAGTTTGTGGGAACAGTCTCATATCTAGTCATTCAGTGGAGCACGTATAGAAATATAGAAATATTGTCTTCTCATCATCACAAAAGCTCAAGTCTGCGTTGGGTGGATTACAAGCACTTGAGAAAAAGTAAAGCCTGAAGTCATTTCCCCCATTCAGCTTTGGCGTATACGGCATCGAATCTTGTTCTTGATTTATGTTCAAATGGGGTATTAATTTCAAATAAGTGATGATTTTGTATAATTTTGTCAGCATTTTCATCGTAAGAAACACCAGAAGTGAACTGTATTCAACGCAGACTAATATTGGTCATTGTCAGGCTGATTTGCCTAACTGCGTTGAGGTCAAGCGCCATTTGTCGCTGTATGGTTGTTCTGTAAGTTGATTATCATGTAGAATACTATTTGTTAGCCCTTTTAGATCTTGGATAATGCTTGTATAGGATATTATAAAGCTTCCTGATATGGTGACATTGTAGTTTTAAGTATGTTGAGCTATTAGGAGCCAACAGCTTGAAGGGGGATGTGGTACATATAAGTAAGTGGCTTCAAGTTCTGTTCAACTTTAATCTTATTATTATTGTTCCCTTGGGTTCCTAGTGGAACATAGGGCTTCAACTGCACGCCTCCACTTGCTTCTACTTTAGTCTTACCGCAGATTTATGCAAATCCCACTACAAAGCAAATAGAAAAAAGAAGTGAGCATTAAAGTACCATGGAAGAAAGAAAAAGTATGTGGACACGGACAGGACCTTAATGTTTGTATATGTATATGTGTTCATATTCGTTGTACATTGTCGTCTACCAAACCGAGATGTTTCTTTATACTTAGTCTTTCTATGCATCTATGTGACAAGTCTATTTATAGTTTATGTGGTAATTGGGGAATTTTCGCTCGTGTTCTAGGTACTGTAGTAAACTAATAATTGATTTGCTCTAGAAATAAATAGTTTATTAATGTAATCAGTAGAGTGAAACAGTCTTTACAGAAGCGTTTGAAAGCTAATACCGAGGTGCAAGTTCTGACTTCTAGGGGCAGGCTGTTCCATAGTTTAGAATACATGACTCTGAAGAAGTTTTCACGGAGTGTCGACTTAAAGGCTTTTATTGTCACTGTGAAATTTTGGTTACACAGATCGTAAGAGCCTTCCTGTGCTAGTTGTATGTCCTTATTGTCTAAGAATAATATTGTGTGTAGGACCTTAGAGAAGAATACTAGGTTTATAATGAGCCGTCTTGTCCAAAGTGGGTCAAGATTTGGAATCATGTACCGTGAGATGTAGTCTTTCTTACAATCGTAGCCAAGTAGCTTGGAGGTAAAATATCGTTGGATGCTTTCTGTCCTTAGCTTGTCACGTGTGCGAGTGTTGCTAATAATAAATAAACAGTATTCTAGTAGTGGCCTCACACATGTTTTGTACAGAATGAGGTTGGCTTCATTGTTGTGAAAGTTCCTGAGTATGCATCCTAAGAGCATCCTCGACTTTCGAGTCTGTGATGCCACTTGCTCAGAAAATGTTAGGTCACTAGAGTACCTCAGGCCTAAGTCAACGACACTTCGGAGTCTAATTAGGTTAGCAGATTGAAGTTTTAACTCCATGTCGATTGAGGGTGCGCCGAAGGAGATCCAACCACATTTGTTCAGATTAAATTGTAGATTCCATAAAGACGACCAAGCAGTCACTTCATCTATTTCATTCCGCACAACATTCTGGAACTACCCTAGATCAACACACACTGAGATGTGTAGGCTACCTTTAGGTCATCTGCAAAGATGAATGGTTTCCCACGCGAGAAGCAAGCACAAATATTGTTGATATCAAGTGTAAGTTGGAGCCAAACGACACCACACCAGAAGTGATTGGGATAGGTATGAAAGTCACAGACCCAAGTCTAACTATTTGGGACCTCTTGTTAAGGAATGGTTTTATCCATCTCAATAGTTGGTCACATATTCCTAAGGAGTTTAGCTTATGTATCAGCAGCAAGTGGTCAACACGGTCAAATACCTCAGAAACGTCAAAGTAGATGACAGGGACTAGTTGTCGTCTGTAACGAATGCTGGTCACAAAATTAAAGAAGTCTAGGTGGCATGTTAAACATGACCGGGATTCTATAAATCTATGTTGCTTCGGAACTGAAATGTTGCAACTAAGCATATAATAATAATATGCCTGAGTATGTTATCTTTAAATAGTTTCCCCATAATTCTAGATGCTAGATGATACTTGCACTTACCTATTTCATTACAATGTAATGATTCACCTCAGCACTTTAATTTTTCTAAAACAGATTCCAATCTTTGTAAAAGGTGTACTTACCTCAATATTGGTTGGTCATCGTATGCCTACAACCACGGGATGAAAACGGGACGAAGTCGATTTTCCCGCTCAACCTGGAGGACAACTGTACAATTCAATAACTATACGGCCTAATTCAGAAAATGAGTGTATTATATGTATCGAATATTTAACAGTTGAA